CTCCTAGGTTTCTGGCTGAAATAGAATGTTTATGCCAATCACCAACAGAAGGGATAAGGTGGGAAGATTTTCTATTCATCTGTGGACCACTGTGAGACATATAGGTGGTTTCTAGAAGGCCAAACTAGGAGACATGCATTATAATGGTGCACAAAAAGAAGAAGTGCTAATGAAGAAAATGCCAAATATGACTGCAAGGAGCAGAGAGAGGGCTAGGTGAGGTGAAGATCATGTCAAGAGAGACTTTCAAGCTGTGTGTTTGACAGTCAGATGTCCAGAGAATTCAATGAGAATGAAGGCTGGCAAAATCAGTGTCCAGTTTCGGAGGAATCAGGGAAGAGTATCATCAGTATTGGGTAATAAAGGTCCTTTGCGTGGACATATCAGAAATTAGAAATGATTTACATTTGAAGTGACTATATAAACTCTGTAACTTTGTGCATCTCTTACCCTGAGAAACATTAAAGCAACATATGGATGGCGATTTTCATCATAATAACCAATATTCGGTCAGAGATCAATATTAATAAACAATAAGAATAATATCTAAATGTGACGATACCTCTACTAAAAACACTGACTCAGGTCATCATTTCTCTCACATAGAACAGACAGTCGTAAATTGTATAGTTAATATTTCATCATAATAATATGTTTTAAAGGAATGCACATTGAATTAATAAATTTTTGCTACATAAATTGATGAATCATCCTTATTTTATGATGTAAAGGATGATAATCACATATCTTAGTCCATCCTTGTACGTGATCTACTTTAGCTGGTTTGAGTCATTGCTCTCAAACATTAGCTGCATAAAAAGCATCCAAGGCACTTGATAAAATTTTCCTTTTATTCAAACCCAATAAAATTCTTCTTCTTTTAATTCAAACTCGTTAACAGACAGCGCCTTCATGTGATTCTGATACAGGTAAGTAAGAGATGGTCCTGCTTGGAGAAACACTGCCTTGAGGAACGATTGCGTGCAACTTGTATTTTTTTTTAGGTGGTATTCTTGCGCCCTCAAGTGGTACAGTGTGGAACTGTAAGTTTCAAATTTCTTATTTTCACTGATTAGAAAATTGTTGTTAGCTGCCATCGAGTGATTTTGACACATGGCGACCTTCACAATTTACTCACCAGCTATCTAGCCTTCACTTAGCCATGCTATCAACCTACAAGGAGCCCTGGTGGCACAGTGGTTAAGAGCTCGCCGCTAACCAAAAGGTCCGCAGTTGGAATCCACCTTGGAAAGCCTATGGGGTAGATCTGCTCTGTCCTATAGGGTCGCTAGGAGTCGGAATCCACTCGATGGCAATGGGTATCAACCTACAAATGCAAGTGCTGACTTAGTAATTACCCCCTTATATACAAACCAGATAACTAGAGACGGCTAGAAAATGTCACCTGTAAGATTCCACAATTTAGAAATGCTGTGGCTAAAACGAGAAGCCTGGTGGTGCAGAGGTTAAGCTCTCAGCTGCTAGGCGGTTTGAACTCACCAGCCGCTCCCCGGGAGAAAGATGTGGCAGTCTACTTTCGTAAAGATTACAGCCTTGGAAACCTCGCGGGGTAGTTCTTCTCTGTCCTATAGGGCCACTATGAGTCTGAAAGGGTAGCTAAAATACAGCTACACATTTTTTTTTTTTTTTTTTTTGAGGATTTTGAAAGAGTGTTTAGAAGAACAGTACTAAACAGTGATAAAGAGGGAACATTTTCGGGGCAAAAGGGTTTATTCTTTGCTTGGGGTTTCCTGTGAATCGTCTAGAATTTTACAATCTATTTTAAAACACTACAGATTCAAGCACTGCAGAACTCATTCGAATTTATTTGCCAGTCTTTTTTTCTGTTAATGAGAAGTATATAATGGATAAACATACAATGAGGAATGTGTAGAGAAAAGGGTTAAAGCAACTACTGCCTTTGAGGCTATTCTGACTCGTGGAGACCCCATAGAACTACCCCATAGGGTTTCCAAGGCTGTAAATCTTTACGGAAGTAGACTGCCACATCTTTCTCCCAGGCAGCGGCTGGTGGGCTTGAACCACTGACCTTTGCGGGTTAGCAGCTGAGATCTTTAACCGCTGTGCCACCAGGGCCCCCAAGTAAAAGGTTCAAAAAAACCAAACCTGTTGCCATCGAGTCGATTCTGACTCACAGAGCCCCTATAGGACAGAGTAGAACTGCCCCATAGGGTTTCCAAGGAGCAGCTGGTGGATTCCAACTGCCGACCTTTCTGGTTAGCAGCTGAGCTCTTAACCACTGTGCCGCCAGGGCTCACTTTCTTCTCTTTCTCCTTCCTTCCCACCTTCCTTGCCTCCTAACAATCATTCAACAGATCATTATTAAAAGCACCAAGAGAGGTTTTGTGATAACTGGGCCACCATCTCTGTGAGTAAGAAGAGGAGTCCCTGGTAGTGCAAGCAGTTAAGCGCTGCTCCACTACCAGCCAAAAGGTTGGTGGTTCCAATCCAGCCAGTGGCACCTGGGAGGACAGGCCCGGTGATCTGCTTCGGAAAGGTCACAGCCTTGAAAAATCTTTGGAGCCGTTCTACTCTGCATACTTGGCAACAACAATCTACTTAATGGCAACAACAACAGCTAATCAAAGCCTGTAACAAAGGGTCCCGCCCTAAGGGCAGGGTGAGTTAGGAATGTTCAGAGGAGGAGGAGATTGTCTGGAAGGGGGAGATTGTCCAGATACGTGGGAGGAGGGTAGCCATTGGGGAAATCCTAATGGGGGACTTGGCATCTGAACTGGGAACTCCTAAAGATGACCACTCTTTAATAACCTGGGTGCAACTGTGTTGCTGACTTACACATCACACCATTATCTGCTCTTATAGTGGTTCTTTTAGCCATTCATTGAATCCTGATTATATACGATGCACTGTGCTAAGTGTAGGTATATAAAACCCAACGGGGCTGACTTGGTTCCTGCCCTTATAGAGCTCCCAGTCTAGTAAAGGAGACAGACAAGAAAATAACTATGTAAAAAATAGATAAAAATAATCATAGACTGAGGTAAGGGCTATGAAGGAAATAAGAAAGTGAGGTAGAGAATAACTTGGATGGGGTGGGGCAAGTCCTACTTTCATTATAGTGAATGGAGAAAACCTTCCTGAGAAAATGCCAGCTACCATGTTTATTATGAGTCCAGTGCTTTTTTAAGTGCTCTTTATGCATTAATTATGACTATATTAGGGAGTGTACTGTTACGATACTCAGCCTGAGACTCAAATGAAGAAAATGAGGCACATAGACACGAAGTAACTTAACATGTAATTTGTAAGTGGTGGAGACTGGATTCAAGCCCACACTGCCAGGACCCTCTCTTGACACTCTGATGGCTATTTCCCCTCAAGGCAGAGGAAAGAGCAGGCAGGAAGCTCTGAGGCAGGAAAGCGCTTGATGGTGGAGGTGCTGGGAGAAGACCTGCATGAGAGGAGCAGAGAGAGGGTGAGAGTGGCTGCTTGAGGTTAGAAATAGAGGCAGGGGCCTGGTCCGGCAGCCCCTTATAGAACATGGAAAGGAGCTTTTATGGAGGACTTTGGTGGTTCAGGGGTAAAAGTCTTGCCTTCCATGCGGGAGACCTGGCTTCATTTCCCTGCCAGTGCATCTCATATGCAGTCACTAGCTGTTTCTCAGGGGAGGCTTGCGTGTTGCTATGATGCTAAACAGGTTTCAGATGAGCTTCCAGGTTAAAAAAGACCAGGAAGAAAGGACTGGTGATCTACTTCCAAAAATCAGCCAATGGAAACCTTCTGGATCACAATGACCTGATCCCAAAACAATCATGGGGATGGCGCAGGACCAGGCAGCTTTTGCTTTGGTTGTGCCTGGGGTCGCCATGAGTTCGGGAATGACTCAATGGCAGCTAACAACAATAATAATAAAAGCTTTTGGATCTTATTCTAAGGACAATTATCTAAGAACAAGTCTAAGGAGAGTGTCAGGGGGATTTTAAGCAAGTTTCAGACCTGATCTCATATACCTTTTAAGAAGGTAACTCTTGCTGCTGTGTGGAAAACGGATCGCAGGCAAAAGAGGCAGTAAGGAGATAAGAGGGGTCCACAAGATTTTGGCAAAAGAGACGGGGAAGAGCAGAGATATTCCGGAAGATTTTGGAGATGGAATGAATAGTACTTCACATGATAAAGAGTCTCCCATCCTCACAGAGGATGCACCACACTTCACTTGGAGTGTGGGCTCTGCTGAGATGTGTTAGCACAGAAAGTAGGCTCAGTATTAGGAGACAGCCGCTGGGTGAGTTTAAAAGAACATAATATTTACCCTAGAATAACAGACCCCCTAATGATTGAGGAAAAGTTCTTTCTCCAGCATAAAATGTTGATTTTAAAGATGACACAACTGAGCTCAGAGAAGGTAAGTGATTAATTGCTTAACTAGTTAGTTGCAGACTTACGAGTAAAACCTACGTGCTTTTCTTTGATCGCACGCAGGCATAACTGGTTTCTCTTTAAGAGAGATACATTTAACCACAAGCTGATTTCCCACGAGTACTTTGTGGAATATGTTGCTAAACATGCTGAGTACTTTCTTATTTCTTCCTTCTTAATTTGGAATGATCTCTTTGAGGGTAACAACTATTCTCCTTTCATAATACATTGTAATATGATGCTCTCTCTGAGAATTTTCCTTCTTTCCTTATTTAATGGAAATGGAAAGAAACAGAGAAAAGGGCAAGTCAATAAACTCACATCCCATATGATTTGGTCACGTTCTCTGCCCTCATGTTTGCCTGCAGGAGTGTCTGCCCTTGATTCTAAGAGAGAGCCCTGGTGGGAACCAGAGCTTCAGAAAAGGTCAAGGGCCTGCTGAACACTTTGGACTACAAGAGACGTGCTAGAGGCAGAAAGCAGGAGGAGGCTACATCTAGGCAAATGTCTCCCTTGTCCACAGCCAATCAGAGTGTCCCTGAAGAATCTATAAAGTACCCTAAACGTGCTAAGCAGGTCCTAGAGGGTTCAATTAATCTTACCATGGCCTTTCTGTCCCGTGAAAAATATCAAGTTATTTTGCACTGCTGAATGGTTGTTTGCCAGCTGAAACTTCAAGTGGAATTCATAATCGAAGCTAATGTCTGGGATCCGTGAATAAGCCAGGAATGAGGTGTATCCAAAGGCATCCGTGCCACTGAACCTGGGCTGAGTAATATTAATAGCTGTGGAAAAATTCAAACCAAACAGTTAATACAATCCTGTACATGTACTTGTAAAAGGCAGCTATGTTTTAGGTGTATCTGGCCAGATAGTCTGTTTACTATGACTTAATTATATTCACGTGCTCCTCAGCATCGAGCAACTAAAGTGACTCAACGGGGAATTTCAAAACCAGAACAAAGGACGAGCAGAGGGTTTTGAAATCCTGTATATAACCCATTCACTCACATACTTTCTGCATCATGAGGAATTTACCTTAAAAGCACAACCCTATATTTTGAAGATTAATTTTAGAAATAGAAAAGCTTACTGGCAGCCAAAGTATTTGTTCAGGTGCTTCGTAAACATGATTTGGCATCCAGACACTAGATACGACCTAGAGAGGACCTCGAAGCTTGAACAAACTGTGCTTTTCTAAGCCTTCACCTTTCTATGAGCCAAAGCCACAGGTCAGGAGCAGGAAAGTCAAGAAATGGAAAGGAAACTGGTCAGTTTCCATCACCATATTGGGTCAGTTTCCATCACTATAAAAACTATTGCCTAAAATAAATGTTGATCTCTACTCTGTTGAGCAGGGATAATTAAAGCATGAATTTCGGTAGGCCTGAAACTGCAGGAACCAAACCAAACAGTTGCCATCCAGTAAATTCAGAATCACAGCGACCTCATGTGTTACAGAGTAGAACTGCTTCATAGAGTTTTCTTGGCTGTTATCTTTTCAGAAGCATATTGCCAGACCTTTCTTCTACAGTGCCATTGGGTGTGTTCTAACCACCAACTTTTTTTTTTTTTAATTGTACTTTAGGTGAAGGGTTACAGATCAAATTAGTTTCTCATTAAACAATTATTACACATATTGTTTGTGACATTGGTTGCCAATCCCACAAAACATGTCAACACTCCCCCCTTCTTGACATTGCGTTCCCCATTACCAGCTTTCCTGTCCCCTCCTGCCTTTTCGTCCTTGCCCCTTGGCTGGTGTGTCCATTTAGACTCGTTTTGTTTTATGGGCCTGTCTAATCTTTTGGCTGAAGAGTGCAGCTCAGATGTGACTTCAGTATTGAGTTAAAAGGGTGTCCAGGGGCCATACTCTAGGGGTTTCTCCAGTCTCTGTCAGATCAGTAAATCTAGTCTTTTCCTGTGAGTTAGAATTTTGTTCTACATTTTTCTCCAGCTCTGTCCAGGGCCCTCTATTGTGATCTCTGTCAGAGCAGTCGATAGTAGTAGCTGGGCATCATCTAGTCATGCTGGACTCAGTCTGGTGGAAGCTTGGTAGTTGCGGTCCATTAGTCCTTTGGATTAATCTTTCCCTGTGTCTCTGATTTTCTTCATTCTCCCTTGCTCCAGACGGGAGTGGCACCAGTGGAGGATCTTAGATGACTGCTCACAAGCTTTTAAGACCCCAGACACTACTCACCAAAGTAGGATGTAGAACATTTTCTTTATAAACTATGTTATACCAATTGAGCTAGATGTCCCCCAAGACCATGGTCCCCAGCCCTCAGCCTAGTAAGTCGGTTCCTCAGGCAGTTTGGATGTGTCTATGACCTTGCCTTGGTCAAGTTGTGTTGACTTCCCCAGTATTGTGTACTGTCTTACCTTCACCAAAGCTACCACTTATCTATTGTCTAGTTAGTGTTTTTCCCTCCCTACGTGCTACCTCCCCATAAGCATCAAAGATGGTTTCTTTCTGTGTGTAAACCTTTTCGTGAATTTTTCTAATAGTGGTCTCATACAATATTTGTCCTTTTGTGTTTGACTTATTTCACTCTGCATAATGCCTTCCAGATTCATCCATGTGGTGAGATGTTTTGCAGATTCATCATTGCTCTTTATCATTGTGTAGTATTCCATTGTGCGTATGTACCATAGTTTGTTTATCCATTCATCTTTGGCTGTTTCCATCTTTTTGCTATTGTGAATAATGCTACAATGAATATGGGTGTGCATGTCTATTTGTGTGACGGCCCTTATTTCTCTAGGATATATTCCTAGGAGTAGGATTTTTGGATCATATGGTATTTCTATTTTTAGCTTTTTAAAGAAGTACCATATTGTTTTCCAAAATGGTTGTACCATTTTGCATTCCCACCAGCAGTGCATAGGAGTTCCAATCTCTCTGCAGCCTCTCCAACATTTGTTATTTTCTGTTTTTTTGATTAGTACCAGTAATGTTGGGGCAAGATGGCATCTCGTTGTAGTTTTGATTTGCATTTCTCTAATGGCTAGAGATGGCGAGCATTTCCTCATGTGTCTGTTAGCCACCTGAATGTCTTCTTTGGTAAAGTGTCTATTCGCATTCTTTGCCCATTTTTAAATTGGATTATTTGTCTTTTCGTTGTAGAGGTGTTGGATTTTCCTATAGATTTTAGAGATTAGAACTTTGTCAAATTTGTCATAGCCAAATTTTTTTCCCCAGTCTGTAAGTTCTCTTTTTCACTCTTTTGGTGAATTCTTTTGATGAGCGTAAGTGTTTAATTTTTAGATCTCAGTTATATAGCTTATCTTCTGGTATTTGTGTGTTGTTAATTATGGTTTGTATCCTATTTATGCAGTGTATTAGGGCCTCTAGCATTGACTCTATTTTTTTCTTCCATGATCTTTATAGATTTTGGTTTTATGTTTAGGTCTTTGATCCATTTTGAATTAGTTTTTGTGTATGGTGTGAAGTATGGGTTCTGTTTCATCTTTTTATACATCCAGTTTTGCCAGCACCATTTGTTAAAAAGTCTGTCTTCCCCATTTAATGGACTTTGGACCTTTGTCAAAGATCAGGTGACTGTAGGTAGATGGATTTACACCTGGGTTCTGGATTCTGTTCCACTGGTCAACGTGTCTTTGTTGTACCAGTACCAGGATGTTTTGACTACCATAGCTGTAAAGTAGGTTCTGAGGTCAGGTAGTGCGAGTCCTCCTACTTTATTCTTTTTCTTAAATAGTGCTTTACTTAACTAGGGCCTCTTTCCTTTCCATATAAAGTTAATGATTAGTTTTTTCCATCTCGTTAAAGAATGCTGTTGGTATTTGGAGGGTGATTGCATTGTATTTGTAGATTGCTTTGGGTAGGATTGACATTTTCACAGTGTTGAGCCTACCTATCCATGAGCATTAACCACCAACCTTTAGGTTAGCAGCCAATTGAAAACTGCTTGTGCCACCCAGGGACCTTTAGTAGGAACAGGAAATGGTAAAACAGGTTCAGGGACTGAGACAGATAGGGATAACTGTGCTGGCAGAATAAAAGAGCTGTTAAAAGACTACCACCTAGAAGCTGGGTAAACAGGAACCACATCCTGTCAACATAAAATAAGGTTAGAACAACCCATGAATTACTACTTCTTCCTTAGTGTTTTTCTAGTCCCTTTCCCCTTCTTATGGGCTTTGTATCCACAGAAGAACAAAGTGTGACCACTATTTTGGTCCACTGAAGGGGGCAAAGTAATACAGAAGATCAGTGTGCCTGCACCATATCCCATATCCCGTAATAAGTGATGCTGAGAGCTTCCAACGGGACTCCATCTTGAATATCAGCAGGTTCCATCTTGGATTCCAGGTGCGTGCACAACCTAATTAGTATGCACTACCATTCCAAGGAGTACCCACCCCTTAGAAGAAATCCCCTGAATATTCATTGCTCTATTGTCCCCACCAAACCCATATAAGCCCTAGCCTTGCTTCTCCTTGTGATCCAGTCTTTTGGAGAGGCATGAGCCTTGTCTGACTCCTTTTAGTCGTCACAAGTAAAATAAACCTGTTAGAGCTGAATGCAAAAATTTTCTCCTCTGTGTATTCTTACAAGAGAAAGACAAGGACCCACTGAGTCCAGAGGGCCTCCGTGCCCTCAGTGGTAACAGGACCAGTGTGGACAGAAATGGATGGCTGCAACAATGGACTTAAGCATAACAATGATTCTGAAGAACAGCGCAGGACTGGGCAGAGTTTTGTTCTGTTGTACATGGGGTCACTATGAATTGGAACTGACTTGACAGCACCTAACAACAACAACCTTAGCCAGTTACCCTCTTTTTGTCCATGCTCTAATCTTCTTATGCCAAACTCTTCCCCTCTTTTCGTAACTCTGTTTACTTCATAATAGTCCCAGCTGGCTTCTGTTTTCCCAGCTCAAGAGGACCACAGGAAACAGAAAGAGAAATTTTCCTCCACCTTCCCACCTTGTCTCTTGGAATGGCATTCCCAAATAAAAGGATGTTCTTAGGATTTATTTTAATTGGTCCAGGACTACTTGTTAGAAGGAAGAAGTGCTTGTCTTGATTACCATATATTGCTTCCTTCTTCTCAAGAGATGTTGGATCTCCAGGGAAGTTGTAAAACTAGAATTTTTACAAGCTTTAGGAAATATTCTTGCTCTGGTAACTAACGCTTAAAACAAAAAAGCTTTTTATGTCTGGTTATAATTGTTTACACAGCAAATAATTGTACTATCTTGAGAAAAAAAAAATTCTAGTTACCAGAGGCTTTTATTTCTGTGTTTTCTGTTGTTCCATGTGACTGTTCAAGTAGAGTATTTGTGTGGAATAAGCTGAATACTTTGTTTTGATATTTTATTAAAATCTTATCAGCTTGTTCCTGGAGATTTGTGGCCTAGGATAAGTGTAATTTTACTCAAAACTCATCAGAATCTAATGTAGGGATTTTAGACATATAATAACTTATATTTATTTTTTATCTAATGAAAGATTTACGGTCTGTGTTCCAGAGGTAATAAAACTCCCCCATCAGGTCTTTCACTTTCAGTAGTATGGATGATAGCGTGGTCGAGGGAAATGGAATGTACTGGAATTGAAACAGAATAGAAACACTGAGAGTCTTTTCTGCTCTGACAGGGATCACAATAGAGGGTCCCGGACAGAGCTGGAGAAAAATGTAGAACAAATTCTAACTCACGAAAGAGGACCAGACTTACTGATCTGACAGAGACTAGAGAAACCATGAGAATACAGCCCCAGACACCCTTTTAACTCAGCACTGAAGTCACTCCTGA